CCTGGTCGGAGGTGTCAATCACTGTGCCCGTTGAATGTCGCAGTGCTGGAGTACAATTCCCGTCATTTGAAGCCGGTTCGTAAGGTTGCATGCTGCTTCTTTTTTTGATCAGTTAGTATTTTGAAAAAAGCGGAAAATGCCCTCCTATTCTACACCTCCTGCTCCCCACGACTCTCCTGCTCTACAGCATTTTTGTTTCTTTCCTTTGCAAATCACCTAATCACTACACTGTTTACTTCCCCGCCCGCCCTTCCGCTCCCGAATCCCTGTTCTCTTTCAGACCACGGATCGCCTGTACAGGCGTGTGAATCAGACCGACCCGCAGAACAGCCCAAATCCCCAGCGGTTGTGTCACCATCCGATTCAATCTCCATCTTCTCCTCCTCTTCCTCCTCGTCCCCTGGCCCATCTGTGCACTTGCCGGCGGAGTCGGTTGAAGTCCAAGTGCAAAACTCCGGGAGTCATTGTCAGCAGTCAGTCGAAACGGAGGGCGAGGTATCAACCACCTCGTCAACCTACTTCTACCTACGCGTGCGCAACCACCGTAAAGAGGAGGTGGAGGAGCAAACAGCCAATCAAAGGCCTGTAGTTTCGTCGTCTATTTCGACTGACATCAGTGGTGTTGCGAGACCTCCGGAGGAGGAGGCGGAGGAAACTGGGGATGAGAGGGAAGTTGTACCTGACGAGACAGCCAGTGAGGTAGCTACAGAACTGCATTTATCGCCCGTCACTTTGGACAGGGCCGAAGTTACTGTGACTACACGCAAAAGGTGAGTGAGTCTGCCTCAGAAGTACAAGTCATGAAAATTCTGCCTGCCGTAAATATTACCATGGTTAATCTTAAGAGTCAGCTTATGGCAGGCAATTGTTTTCAGCAACTCGTCATCAGGCCAAACGTTTACAAGAGAAATGAACGCTGTACATAACAATTAAAGTTTGAATATGTAGAAAAATCGATAACTGTCTAACGTGGGCGCTGATTGGCCACTACTATGTCAGTTTGCGCATGTAGGCCATGTCAGCGTGTTGGTTGAGAGACTGCCGCTTGTTGGTAGGGGCGAAATGCTATCGCCACCTGGTGTCGGTGTAGACCATGGAAGTGTAAGAGCTTGTGTCAGCGTCTTCTGACAACACGTACCGGCCTAGTTAAGCAAAGGGGAAACTAAATCGATCTCGAACTCTATCCTCGCACACCTTGTCGATAAGAATCATCGAGTCGACACCAATAAAGCCTTTTAGGTTGTCTACCGGACACCATCTAACTTTTCCAAAGACCTACGT